TAAGAATTTCCTCAACCGGTTACCCGAAATTTATTCGGTTCGGGTCGGTTAACCGATTATAGCTCAACCGATTCAAGGCACTATATCTAATTGACAAATTTTTTGTAATTTATAACAACAATTTTTATAATACTATTATAATATTAATAATAGATCTAAGGATGAAATCCTAGGGCGATGAAAAGAAATTTTGAGTTAATAAAGAATTTCAAGCCTATAATCTATTGCAAATATATAATTGAAATATTAAGACTAATTTGATAAACTCAGGAGAAATAAGATGCGACACCATTATATTTACTTCATAAATATTTATACTTTTTAGAAATTTTAAATTTTTATTAAAAGGGTTTATCTAGGCAACATTTTTAGCAAACTATAATACTGTCAGTAGATGATATAAATTTAATCTGATAAATTAGATACAACTCCATTATATTTACTTTATAATATTTCATACTTTTAGAAAATTCTAGATTTAAAAAGTTGTACAATTTTAGTCTTATTACTATTTGCAAAATTAATCACAGTGAATGATTACTACGTCAATAACTTAGCACACATTCAAGAAATAAATTGCATGACTATTATATTTACTGATGAAATTTTATTTATTCCCAGAACTGTGCAATCTAATTTAAGCCGCTTGAAATTGTATTCTCGGTTATCACTTTTAGACCTCTAGGGGGTGGGGTAAAATGAAACGAACATATAAAAATGGTACAATTTCATTAGTCGATGTAGATCAAGTGAATGGTAAAAGTTATCATTTTTCGTGGGAGACTTCAGCTGGGGGCGATATTAAACAACGAATTAACTTCGAACGTCCTTAGGACATTCAAAGTTAATTTTCTGGTTTTCATGTCTTTAAAACTTCTGAACAAACCCGATCACATGGCTTTTTTTCTAAATTTATATATAAAAACTTTACTTAAATACTTACCTAGTTATTGTATATAGATATAATTTTTAAAAGTTTTTATATAATATATATTAAAATAGAAAATTTTAAATATTGAATTGAAAAAATTTTATCCGGATGGATATGAAAATCAGAAATTTTACTTATGTATAGGAAATTTTGTTACATCCAGTTCACATATATAAACCATTATGCACCACATTTACATAACAATTACAATTATAAATCTTTAATTAAATCGTACAATTAAACATACTACTTTTTTTCATAATTAGCGAACAATTCAATAAATTTATAATAAAATTCTTGTGTTATGAAATTTGAAGTTACATCTGGTTTACCGATCATGCATAAATTATGCAGTAGCGGTAATATCTATTAACATCAATCTAGAAAGGTTCGCTATCTGGCCAAATTAAAATTCAATATATTAAGGTGTTGCATCTATAGATTTTAATTTCATTAGAATACGTGAATAACAAATCTCTGGTCTTAAAGGTACTCAGTAATCATAATAGCTTAAGCTTTCAATATAAATTAATAATAATTTAATATTACTGATTTTTCAAGTTTGTTAATGTTATGCATGTGTACTAGTGACGAAACCAAGTGATGCTAATTATCACATGCTATTACTTATAAAAAATCAAAATAGATTGTTGATTTTTATATACGTACCATGTGACAATTAGCATCACATGGTTTCGTCAGGCATCACTAGTCACAACCCTACTATAAACGCATCAAGAACGTAGATCAATTTTGGGGTACATTTTAGACCTATCAAAAAAGCAACCGATACTTTTGCGTCACATGGGTAGCGCACAGAACCGCGACAGTGCCAACCAGCCAGTGTTGGAAATCTTATGTTCTCATGAGAACATGAGAACATCCTTTTATATTTGAGAACATTTGATATTCTATATATGTTCTCTATGAAAAAAAAAATAAATATGTTCTCATGAGAATATAAATTTCAAAACAGATTTCCAACACTGGTGCCAACCCTTACTCTATGTGCCAGAGAATAAAAATCTTATTGCAACTATACTTTTAAAATTTAAAGATTCTTGAAATATAATATAATTCTTATTTTCATATATTGTCAAAAAAAATTTTATTTAATATTTAAATTTTAAAAAAAGCAGATAAGCAAATTTTATGCAAATTTGTCTAAATTGCTAACAGTTTAAGAGATTATATAATAATTATAGAACAATTATATAATATTAATAATAATGTTTAATAGAAATTGAAGTTTCTGCGAAGGTTTTAGCTCACCTTTTGTAAAACTATAAATATTCATTTCAAACAGGGATATATATTATTTATTTTCTGTTTTTAAATCTTCAATTGATTTTTTTAGATCCTTAAGTTCATTAATGTCCTTCTCAATTTGTCGAAAAATGGACAGATCTTCGACAGTCTTCTCAATTTGTTTAAGAGTGGGCAGATCTTTCATAGTCCCCTCAATATGTTTAAAAGAAGGTTGTTCTTCAGGGAGTAAAAGAATTTCACTAAGAGCCTTTGAAATGTAAGGTTTTTTATAGCCTAACCATTTGTCCTTATTGATATTAATTATATGTTCACGAAGTTTAATTGTGTTGCATTCATAAAACCTTTAAATATAAATATAAAAATATATATAAGTAATATGAATAAGATTTTGTTTTGTATGTATAATAACTTACATAACAAATGGGAACCAATTTTCTTTTCTTCGTTGATGAGGTAACATGTATAATGCCTCGATTTCTTCTAATATCTATATAATTAATAAAATCCCAAAATTTACATATAATGATAATTATCGTACTGTTACTACCATACCAAATTTGATCATATTTTTGATCATATTTGTACGATTTTTTTTCTTTTCATTTCTGGATTAAAATTAATAGTGCTATAAATAACTGATAACATTAAAAAACTTTGCATACAAAAACTGCTTAAAGATAAACAATACTTCGAGCTCATATCATTCCAGAGTCACGTTATTTATTTAATATGATCAAATACATATGATAGTAACAATTGCCGGATGATAACTTAAAAATATAGTTTATAAAGACCACACCTCTGCTTTTAAAATTAAAGATGACTCTTTTGTTTTAGTCGCACTTATTTCATTACTTAGTAATCCGATACTCAAATTCACTAAGTAAATAATTGCCACAAAAAAAAATATAATCGTTAAAATAAGTAAAGCGGGGTTGTTATATAAATCCCAGTAAGCAATTGGTCTTGTATCTCCTATTAAAATTAATATATTTTAGTATTTATCCCCACTGGTAGTACTAGTAACATTTAAAAAATAAAAAGATTAAATTCTACCTGTTAGCATAAGATAAACAGCAAAAATTGCTGAGCCCATCATCATAAACATATTTGTAGTTGTAGTAGGAGGTTCAATAAGTGAAGAGTTATTTTCAATTATACCATTAGAATCTATAGTATTATAAGTTGTAGCTAAATTCCACGGATCATTGGGATCAGTGGAATAGCTTGGATAATCCAAAGATACGTTGGTAGCAGGTCGCAGTAAAAGGTGTAAAGAATGTGCAAAAGCAAATATAATAAATCCTAATATTATCCAAAACGAAAATACCCTTTGAGCAACTCCAAATATCATAGAAAAGTAAACTCCAAAAAATTTAATCGCTCGAAAAAATAAAAAAAACTTAATTTCTAATAATAAAGTAGAAAAGGTAGCCAATTCTGTTGGTATAACATTATTTTGGAGCCATATGATTGCCGATACCATTGGCAATAAAAATGCACCTAAATCTTAGTTTATGAGCAAAAAATAATAGGATATTAGTTATAGTTATGCAAAATTCAATACAATATTAAAGTTCATGTACCAAAAAAGTTCCATGCACTAGATATATACGCCAATGGTGAGAAAATAAATTGGCGCAATTCCAATAGTAAATGCAAAATCCCAAGATAAATAGTTATATTTAAGAGAGTATTTAGACTATTCTGAGAGATACTTTTGTAACATGTTGCAGCAAATATGAAACTAAAAAGAAAAACTGTATAAATTGCCCAAATTGCTAAATAATATTTTCTTCCAAAAGCATTCCATTTAAATTTAAGTAGTGCTTCTCCATTTAGATATCTATAAAATTCTTCATTTATCATTTCAAGCTTATTAGAATGTGTAAAAGAGTTGGAACTAGGTACTAATAATTCTTTCCAAAAACTATATTCTTTTGGATAAGAAACAAAGTTTGGTAGAGGAATTGCAAGTATTGTTGAACTATGGCCTGCATAATAAAAATCGATAATTGGGTCTACAATTAAATCCCGAAAAAGAGGATAACTATCTTGAAATTTTTGAAACCTATTTTGAAAACTTTCTTGAATACTAATCCAACGATCCCAGAGACTAGAAGTTAATATATCAAGAAATGATGTTTTAGATAGATGACAGTATTTTCCATAACTGGAAAGGTGTATGGAAATAGATTTGGGATTTATCGTAGGAGAAGGAGCTACAAATCCTATCAAAGATAAAATACTTGCTATAAATGCAGGATGATTTTCTGATATTTTTTTAAAGTTTTCAAAAATAATACTCAACAAGGAAATCTTAGAAATCAAATGATTATTATCTTGCACACACTTATCCATACAGCTATGGCCTAAAGATCGAATCCGTTTATCATCATTTAATTTAATGAATATTTTCATGAGATCTTTTCCATAGCAAGTTAAATAAAATTCTTCAGCGATATTATCTTCCAAAAATTCTTTGAAAAGCTCTTTTTCTTCTTTTTTCTCTTCTTGCCAAAATTTAATATCTAAATTTTTAAGGATTGTTTCATAATTTGAAGCAGGAAGAATTCGTCTTGAAATCCTGTTCTTAAAAAGATCTTTAAACTTCATCTTTTCAAAAACGAAATCTTCTAAATGACCATTCCAGTTATTCCAAAAATAATGCATCTTAATGCTCGAAAATTTATAAATCCAGATAACCACACCAATACGTGTAATCGTAACAAAATCATCATTTTCAAGGACTTCACAATGTAGTATAAAATTCTTTTCATTAGGATAAAATGATGGAAGAATGTTTAAATACTTTTTTTTATCATCTGGGTTCCAATTCTCCCTGCGATAATCAAAATCATTTACTGTAAGTCTGACTGATTTGTTGTCTAATTCCAATCCCCATTTTAAAAATTTCCCTTCAAATTCTTTCCTTTCAGTGTTATAATTACTGTTCTGTATAATTTTAGATATAATATCAATTGTCTTTTTAGATGGAGTTGTAATGCTATTTGTGTCCTTCAGTTCTTTTCGTAAACATTTGACCCAATCATCAGAATTAACAGGGACTAGTTCTTTAATTGACAATATTCCATCGATTATATAGATAATTTTATCAGATCGAATTATGTATGGTTCTTGAAATTGTTTCTCTTTAAATTTCTCAAAAAGCACGTTCGCATCTATTGGATTTTGGAGGCTATAAGGGTCCATTAAATTATATTGATCGTCTGAAATATATAATAATCTTTCTCCTTTTTCAGAAGCGATCAAGTGAAATCCATTTATTACCAATTGCGTAGTAACTAAAAATAAATTAAAATAAATAAAAAATTAATGTAAAAAATTAATGTAAAAAATTTATATGGTCAACTATTTATTTCAATATGAGCTTACAGAATGCAAGGTTTATCCCAGTTTCGGTGGAATAGGTGTACAAACGTGTTTCCTTAGTTTTAACATTTTTTGCACATACTAATAATAATTCTTCATCATAACTAATCTCAACAGATTCAAGTGTATGATTCCAATCTATTAAAATACGAGTTTTAATTGATAATTCTTCAATGTCCCACATTGTAATCTCATAAATCGTATCATTAAATATGATCAATTTTCCTTTAAGAGTAATATATAGATATTTAAAATATTTCAATTCAATCATTGATTTACAAACCCAACTAACACTATCTTTACTTGAAAAAATATATGCTCTGTAATATTTGGTATTGACCATTACAATATTTCCGTTATCGGTAAAGGATAAGAAGTTAATTTCCTTTTGCTGATCTGGAAAAGTTAATGATACCTCTTTTCCATTTTCAAAATTGAAAATTTCTTGAAAATGCACATAAATATGATAAGTACAATTGAATTTATTAAAATAACAATAATATTAAATTTATGCACAACTTACTGAAATTATAAGGGTTGACTCTATTAATACTAATTGATGCATGCTTATTATCTGATATTGCAAATATTCTTTCACCTGTTTTTTTTATGCCAATGTCATCAATATGAATTGAATTTACGTTCGTTAAAGATTCCTCTTGATTAATTATAGACCAAAAACCAATATTGCTATCTTTGTCTAATGCAGCAACATGCATCAAGTTAGGTGAACAGACAATTTCCAAAATTTTCTTATTCTTATCTGGATCCCCCTCGATTGGAATTTCCACATGAGAACTAGATGTCATTTCTAAATATCTTTAATAAATTGTAATTTTTTAATAGGAAGAGTGAATTTTAATAATATTTATTGTAGCGATAAGCAGGATAAATTTCATCTAAAAAATATATAGCCAAAGACTTTTAATCCTATTTGAAAGTTTTGAAAATTCGAGCTAAGCCATAAATCTTTAGTAAATATTTAAAAATGTTTGTGGCAATGTGGTTTTATGCTTTGTGCTTAACAATTACTATCGCCTGATGCGTGACTCCGCCACAAAGTTTAGTAAAATTCATTGAATTCTGTAAACATTTACTAAGCATTTATATATCTGATAATATTGAAAAGCCTGTCTACGAAGTGACAGGGCGATCATTATTGCGAGATCAGATGACTTTATGGTCTATCACATTTCTTACTTGCTATCCAGCCTTTTATAGTTGTTCTTTTATGTGACGATTGTTTCTTTTGATTTCCAGTATGTGCAGGTTATCCGACAAACTCATATGGTCATGAAAAACTTTCTTTCTGTTATTTTTTTCATGTGTTACGATGTAATTATGTTTTTCCGATGTTCTAAAAAAAAAACTCAGCGAGTGACTCCCTACCAATCATGATCATAAATTGTCGGATAACACCATTATTGGGCAAATTTGTGAATACGGTAATTTGGCTCAACCGGACAAATGATTGTCTGACACGTGCCGCTTCGCGGTACTTGTCAGCCAATCATTTGCCCGGTTGAGCCAAATTGCCGTTATTCACATTGACGGGATAAATTTTTACATTATTTCCGTAAATTTTTTTAAAAATCATGTGACAAAATCTTATTATTTTTAATATAAAAATCTGCGGAAGTAACATAAAATTCTTTCCGTAAGTATATACGTCCCAGATAAATTAGTTATTGGCATGCAATAGGGATCATGGACATCGACTGTATAATTGAACCTAAGATCCTCGATTTTGATTGGTAAGAGCGACAATTAGGCCGGAATTACTCATAATTTTGCTAATGAAATCGCAACTGCCCATTAAGTGAAAATTGTTCCTGGGCTAATTTTAACATAATGCGGGCTTATTTTTTAAAAATTTCTATTTTTGTAATGAAAAAATTAAAAAGTTAATTCCGGCCAGAATTAGGAAACAATTATGTAAATCGGGGCAAAATTTCGGCTGTTAGTAGAGATGGGAACGCGCGTGATTTTTTTAGAGCCCGTGCGGGATTTTTAATATAATCCCAGATAAAATTATCTGACGGCATTACCATATCATCTGACTGGAATTGCAGCTGTTCTCATAAATTCTGAGACAAACTAAAAATTTAAATCTCTACGGTTTCGTCTATGAATCATCTAACTCTCCCCGGACCGAAGTTCCGAAGGCAATGACGTGATTCCGAAAAATTAGGTGACCTTTAGGACGAAACCGAAGAGATTTCGGGAAATGACAAATTTTTAGTTTGTCCCACAATTTATGAGAACAGCTGTAATATAATATCTGGCCTGCATTAACATATTTACCGTAAATTCTCGAAATATTGAACTTTGACTCGGATTATGCTTAATGCCCCTATTTCGAAAATTTACGGTGGAACAATAAATTTGATTTTCAATAATAGTTAGTTTTTGCACGGGTTTTTATTGGAAATAAAAAATTAAGAAACCCGCAGATTTGTGATCCTATCCCGCGCGGGATTTTTGAATTTGTCCACTCTAGCTGTTGGCCAATCAAAATCGAGGATCTGCCGCGCATTTTTTGTGCGGCGCCTAGGTTCAATGACAGAATAATTGAAACGCTCGAGGCCTTCGTCCACGTGCTTTTGCTATTATCCTGCCGATACACATGTATCCATAAAATCATGCCAGAAAACACGTATGGGCCAAAATGTCAGTCGGAACATTGTGATTATTAAAATGATTATAAAATTTATATAAAAACTGATAAGACCCATAAAGTAAACTATATAAAAAAACTCATAAGTAACTGATAAGAAATCATAAGGAATATCACTTTAATCGCAATAGCCACGTCAAATCTTGCATATGATTGGTTTGAAAATTTTTTATTCGTAATAAAAACTGCGGAAATTGGAAATTTTGACCCATACGAAGAATTATTAGGATGATTGCATATGATTATTGTTATTGAATCGTTATGATGTAATATGTCGTTAGGAATAATGGGAACGTAGCATCTGTAATGCAGGAGGATGAGAATTTTTTGGTCAGTTTAAAGTATTAAGAGTTTTTGTGCTGTAGTAAAGGAGGATTACTTTTCGTCTCGCGATCGCTCGCCTGTGAGACTGGCCTATCGTCCCTCCCGCTCCCTCCCAACAGGAGATAATCAACGATTAATGTGGTGTAGCGTTAACAGAATAAGACCGGATAGCAAGGACTATTAGTGTTCGGCTCCGCGGCTGCAGTTGCCGTTTCGTTGTTTGACTCCGTGGCTGCAATAGTAGTGCAAGGACCTATTTTTAGTTCGGCTCTACGGCCACAATAGCAGTGCAAGGACCGTTGTTGTTTTGGCTCCGCGGCTGCAATGGCAGTGAAAAAATCATTAACATAAGCAGACACGACCGATTCGCTTTTGACTATATGAGTTTGTTTTCAGACTGCCCTTATGTAAAAGGCCTGTTGAAGTAATTAGGCTGGCATTCAGATCTTTAGCTACCATCAATATGTGTAGGTTTCTGGTGACGGTTGTTGTTTGTGTTTGATAATGGTGGTTTAAGTCTGCTTGTTTGATCTTCTGGGTTATAGACTATTTTAAGACGCTGGTATTCATATTAGTTTAGGATAGATCCTGAATAGGATAGCGAACCCTATTCCCATATGTTTTCAGCTTTGTTCTTTAAATAAAGTCGCCTGATCAAGCAATAATAATAATACTTGTAGAAATGTAATTTTATATGCCTTGTACTTTAATAATTTCTAGCGTCTTTTCATTTTAAAGTCCAAATAGGAATATGTAAATTTGCATATTTATGATGTACTCAATTACAAATTATGCTAAGAGGTAAATCGTAGTTAAAGAGTTTAAAATAGTAAATTTCATATTAAAAATTGACAAATGATGAAATAAAATTTATCAATCAAAAACAAGCTGTTTTAAACCGTCTTTAACGCTACTTTTATTATAACAGATAAACCATAGTCAACTCTTTCTATAATGAACTGACTGTACTGAAAAAAAAACAAGTTCATTATGAAAAGACTCGTTATACTGTATAGAGTTGATTGTATGTATATAAAAAAAAAAGTTCACTGAATAAATTATTAACCTTTTAGTTTTTAAAAAAAATTTCATTAAATAAAACATTTATTATAAAATGCGCCTATGGCGGTTTTGCAACTTTTATATATTTTTATTATGTTTTTGAGATTTTTCTAAGTTTTGAATATAAAAACTTTCATTAGGGTTAGAGCTCGGGAAGAGTTTTTAGGGGTGTAGAGTATTTTTACTTACGACATCTTTGTACCGATAAATAAGCCAGTTTTTGAGATAATAGTACATAGCCATAGATGAGTTTTAGTAAAAGTCAAATAAAATACATTAATTGAAAATAAATTTTCATGTTTTGTGTTAAGATATTGTTAATGTTAAAAGAATTTATTTCCAAAATTATACATAATTCTATTAATAATTAATTGGGAAATTTTGAATTCCGGAGTAGTCACCCGAACTGACACTCGCTCAATCTTGGTATGCAACCTACTGATTAGTAAATAATTTTAAAAATGGCAAATTTACATATTTAAGACATTATTATTTTGTTCTGTCCATGTCAAACCATAACCATCCGCTTCACGTATAAAATATAAATTTTAAAATACTATAGCAAATTTTAGTCTAAGTATTAAATAATATTTTCAATTAGATTTTTGGTTACTTTTTTTTATTTTGTTTTTCAGATCTTCAATAGCATCCTCAATATCTTTAAGAGAAGGTTCTTCTTCAGGGAGTAGAAGAACTTCATTAAGATTCTTTGAAATATAAGGTTTTTTATAACCTGTCCATTTATCTTTTTGGGTATATACTACATGTTCACGGAGTTGAACTGTATGACATTCATAAAAACTTCAAATATAAATATAAAAATATGTAAGTAATTGGAATAATGTTCTGTTTTTACACGCAACTAAATAACTTACATAACAAATGGAAACCAATTTTCTTTTCTTCGTTGATGAGGCGACATATACATTAACTCAATTTCTTCCAAAATCTATATTATTATGAAATCTTAAAAATGTATATATAAATATAAATATAATTGCAAAGGTCATACCTCAGCTCTTAGAATTAAATATGACTCTCTTGTTTTAGTTTCACTTATTTCATTGCTTAATAAACCGATAAACAAATTCATTAAGTAAATAGTTGCCACAAAAGAAAATAAGATCGTCAAAATAAGTAAGGCAGGATTGCTATCTAAATCCCAGTAAGAAATTGGTGATGTGTCTCCTATTAAAAATTTACACATTTTAGGAGTTGGTATATTATTGTCACTAATGATGCATAAAATTTTTTTTTTTAAAAAAAATACAGTAATTGAATTTTACCTGTTAACATAATATAAACAGCCGCAATTGCTGAGCCCATAAGCATAAACATATTTGTAGTCGCAGTAGGGGGTTCAATAAGTGAAGAAATATCTTCAATTGTACCATTAGGATCTACAGTATTATAGGTTGTAGCCAAATTCCACGGATCATTTGGATCATTGGAATAGCTTGGGTAGTCTAAAGATAGATCAACAGTGGGACGCAGTAAAAGGTGTAATGAATGTGCAAAAGCAACTATAATAAATCCTAATATTATCAAAAAAGAAAATCCCCTTTGAGCTACTCCAAGTATCATAGCGAAGTAATCACCAGAAAATTCTATCGCACGAAAAAATAAAAGAAACTTGATTTCTAATAGTAAAGTAGAAAATGTAACCCATTCTGTCGGCATGGCATTATTTTGAAGCCACATAATTGACGATATCATTGGCAATAAAAATGCACCAAAATCTTAGTTTATGAGCAAAAAATAATAGGATATTAGTCATAATATAATAAAAATTATACTATACATTAAAGTTCATAGAGTTCATATTACCAAAAAAATTCCAAGCACTATACAAATAGGCCAATGGTGAGAAAATAAATTGGCGGAATTCAAAAAACAAATGCCAAATCCCAAGACCAATAGTCATGTTTAGGAGAATAAATAGAGTAGTTTGAGAAATATTTTTGTAATATGTTGCAGCAATTACGAAACTTCCAAGAAAAACTGTATAAATCGTCCAAATTGCTAAATAATATTTTCTTCCATAAGTGTCCCATTTAAATTTAAGTAGTGCTTCTCCATTTAAATATCTATAAAATTCTTCATTTATCACTTCAAGCTTATTAGAATACGTAAAAGAATTAGGACAAGGTAACAATAATTCTTGCCAAAGAGTAAAATCTTTTGGATAAGAAACAAAGTTTGGCAGAGGAATTGCAAGTATTGTTGTACTATGGCCTACAACATAAAAATCGATAACTGGTTTTACAATCAAATTTTTAAAAAGAGGATACTTCTCTTGAAAATTTTGAAATCTATTTTTAAAACTTTCTTGAAAACTAATCCAACGAACCCAAAGATTAGAAATTAATATATCAAAATATGATGTTTTAGATAAATAGTAGTATTTCCCATAACCGGAAAGGTGTGAAGAAATAGATTTTGAATTTACGATGGCAGAGGGAACTACAAATCCTATTTTGGACAAAGTACTTGCTATAAAAGCAGGATGATTTTCTGATAGTTCTTCAAAATTTTCAAAAATAATACTCAATAATGAAATTTTAGAAATCAGATGATTTTTATCTTTCACGAACTTTTCCATAAGGCTGTGACCTAAACGTCGAATCCATTTATCATCCCTTAATAAAATTAATGCTTCCATAATATCTTTTCCGTAACAAGCTAAATAAAATTCATCATCGATATTATTTTCCAAAAACTCTTTGAAGAGCTCATTTTCGCCAAACTTAATATCTAAATTGTCACGGATTGTTTCATAACTTGAAGCAGGAAGAATTCTTCCTGAAGTCCAGTTCTCGGTGAGAATTTTAAGCTTCATCTTTTCAAAAACAAACTTCTCTAAACGATCATTACAATCATTCCAATAATAGTGCATCTTAATATCGGAAAGTTTATAGGTCCAGATAAATACACCAATACGTGTAATCGTAATGAAGTCATCATTTTCAAGAATTTCACAATGTGCTATAAAATTTTCTAAATTTCCTTTAGGATAAAATGATGGAAGAATATCCAGTTGCTTTTTTTTATCATTATTCCATTTTCTTCTGCGATAATTATAATCAACTACTGTAAGTTTGACTGAACTATCATCTGATTCCAATTCCCATT